TGTAAGTATGAAGGTTTTGTTAATAGATGCTTGGAGGTTGTGAATGCTCCATCCCTGGCGGTGTTCAAGGACAAAGCCTTGGGTACCATGGTTTAGTGTGAGGTGTCCCTGCCCATGGCAGGGGGGTTGGAACTGGATGATCTTCAGGTCTTTTCCAGCCCTAACTATTCTATGACTCTATGATTTGTAGCTACAATATACCTGGAACCTGAATAGTGGCATCCAGGCACAACTCTTAGTGCTTTGTTGCTTGGCACGTTGCCTTAGCACAGAGGCTAGAATTTTGCTCTGCTGAGTCCTGAAAAAACACAAACTGTTTGTGAAAGACATGTATTTCAATGGTTTTGAATAGTAATTCCCCATCAGAACTGGAGGACACAAGGGTGCTGAACTGCTCGCTCTGTTAAGCCATGCATGCACTACTCCGAGGCAGGATTTCACTTGAACAGCTGTGGGTTTAGCTGCAGTGTATCTGTGTGTTTTTTTTCCAAAAGGGGAAATCCATGGGGGAAGTCTTTTAGTAATGATGTTGTTATTGCTCCATAATCTCTCCTTTTTCTATTAGCACCACTGTTACGTGTGGTGTCTGGCGCATGGAGAAAGATCAATGCGAGCTATGCGATGTGCCCAGAAGTTTTTAAAAGGGGAACTGAGGTTTTCTGGTAAAATATGGCTTGTAAAGAGGGATTGATATTCGTATTAGCTGGAGATAATATTGGAAAAGAGGCTTTATGAAGGCCTTTGTACTAAAATATTGCACTCTGCTTCATGAGCAGATGGCAGCCTGCTAAGAGAAAGCCTAATCAGGTTACTCTGTGATTTTCATTTTATGATGTTTTTATAACCTAGTATTATCTATTTATTCTGTAATCTCATAGACTAATAACCATAGCAAATATCTGACTTTTGGGAATTATCTTGTAGAGTAGATTTACACATAGTATTTTCACATAAACCCCCGTTATTAATGAAAATCCACTTATTTAAGAGACTGAAGAGTTCATTTGCAGCATTTTAGTAAGTGATGCAATTTTCAGTGCAGGGAAAATTTATTTCATTCCAAAAACTTTGTCTCAAGTGCCTTCATGATGGTATCCCCTTTGGAAAATTCTCGTCACTTGTAAAGGCCTGATTACCATTCCCCTGATGTTAACGGATTAATTTCCGTCACCTTTAGATCAAACTTAGAGATTATTTGGACCAGAATTCTTTAGAGTATTTGAATGATTTGGAAGGCTGCAATTAAAAATCCTAGAGTGTGACTAAGTGCTAAATCGTGGTTGCAATAATGGAAATGATGAAAACCTTGTTAGGTTCCTATTTATATGTTCACATACTTTGAAGAAGTGGGTATATGAAGTGACTTGTCCCCATCACTGGTGCCTTTCCCATCCCATCAGTGCAGTCTTTGGCTAGGCAGCGTGTCATAAACGTAGCTTGTTCAGAGTTCCAATTCACCTTCACTCTGAGGTCATTCTGCCCTAGGCCCTGGCTGCCTTTGTGGTAAGGGCGTTGCTTAAATGCTTGTAGGACATGAGATAATACTGAATCCACCATTATAACTGCCTACCACTCACAGACACGTTGCTGTATATATATGGGCTGCCATTCCCTACAGGCTTCCACTGAGTTCCAAAGAAATTTAAGACATTTTACTATTAAAATGTAGGATTTAAAATACTCCTTTCCCCTATGCTCAACAAATCCCGAAGGATCAGTGTGGTTAGTTTACTTCCTGGTTGCTTCTGTCTCAAGAATGGATAGAGCTTAGTTTGATACTGCTTGAAAAGAAAGCAAGATTTAAATGTTCATGAATTCAGTGTTGGGTATGAATTAGGGACAAGCCCGCTCCATCTGCTTCAGTCAACTCCCTCAATGTGCTGGTGAACTGAGCAGCTAGCAATCAGATTTGCTTTGGAACATTAGCCTGGTGCTGTCATGATTTAGAAGTTATATCAGACAATGCAAACAAACAATAAGCCCAGGCCAATGTGTGAAGGCAACGTTGGGGTGCTCGGTGCAGCTGTTATGCAAAAAGAGGCTGCAACCCTGGGTAAGGACCGGGGCACGGGTCTGCAGATGCTTTAGAAACATTGGAATTAATGAGTCTTTACAATGTGACTAATGGACTTTGCTGATGCACAAGGCTCAGGCTTGCTCTAAATAAAACTCCCCAGGTCTGCAGCCTGTGAAGGCTCGGGTCATGCTCTGTACCTGTCTTTAGTTAATGAAATTGAAACAGCCCATTTTTCACAGAACTTTTAAGATACCAATAGCTCACTGTGGGGTTTGTAACCAAGGATTAATTTGACTGCACAATTGACAACCCCAAGGAGTTGTCTTCAGTAGTTGCGTTGTCTTCTGATTCTTTTTCTTTCTATGCAAATGAATAGCAAACTGGTTTGCACTATTTTGAACATGTAATTTATACAGTTTAGCCCTTCTGCAGTGATATTTTTGGTTCAAATATACTTACATTCATTTAATACTTGAAATCTACTTACATTTCACTTGCAGGCGTTACATTTTGCTCACGCTCCCATAAATATTAGTGCATTATATTTAAAAACCCACTTAATTCTGAACAATTTTCCTAATAAATACATTTTCCCTTTGCTCTTGATTAGTAGATGAGTATAATGGTTTAAAAGTCTAAAGTTCCCAGCCAATTTAATACAGATTCCAACAGCACGCATCGCACCAGTATTCAACACTCACCTTTAAAACTCTGGGTACAGTTGCAGCTGGCATCAAAGGAGCCTGAAGTATACCTCAGTATTTTCAGATTCTTTTAATGCTGCTTTCTTTTGTACTAAAGTAGAAATGAATGTGAATGTCATTGTCTCTAATATTCAATTATTAGCACTTCATTGGAATGTTATCTTTATTTGCTTTATCAAGTATCATATTAATTGCATTTTATATCCCCACTCTAAATCTATCACAGTTTCTTTGATTCATTTTCTAAGTCAATTAAGCTAGTACAGGTTCATTGAATAAAGGGAAAAATTCCTACTGTGGGGTCTTCTTTAGTAGTTTTTATAGTAAAAACTGTCAATGAAGATAATTCAAACAGGATCTTTAGCTGATGTGTAATGACTGATTTTAAAGCTGAAAACACAGGCCTTATATATTTTTCAGGAGCTTTGTATTTATTGGAGTCTAGAGCACAAGTGTGATGAGGAACAACTGAGGGAACTGGGGGTGTTTAGACTGGAGAAAAGGAAGCTCAGGGAGTACCTTATTTTTCTCTACAACTACCTGAAAGGAGGTTGTAGTGAGGAGGGAATCAGTTTCTTCTCTCAATTAACAAGTGATAAGACAAGAGGAAATGGCCTCAAGATGCACCAGGAGAGGGTTAGATTGGAGATTAGGAACTATTTCGTCACTGAAAGGGTTATCAAGCATTGGAACAGGCTGCCCTGGGTGGCGGATGGAGGCGCCATCTCTGCAGGTATGTAACAGACATGTGGATGTGGTGCTTGGGGACATGCTTTAGTGGTGGACTCGGCAGTGCTGGGTTCATGATTGGACTCGATGACCTTAAAGATCTTTTCCAACCTAAACAATCCTGTGTTTCTGTGACAGCATTATAGAGGTTCAGTGTTCTTTGTATCCACATTAGAAAATTGAAGGGTTATGGATAAAATATGCGTAGCCTTTGAATACTGCTGTGTTCTCACTGTAGTATTTTCATTCCCCTTCCTATGTAGGCAAGCGAGTAGGAATGTGTGATTTCCCCATTTGCTTGAAATGATTTTTCAAAAGCAAAATAGTTGTGAATTATTAATGTTAACCACACCATGCCAGTGCAGGGAAGTTTATTGACTGATGAGTGCACGAATACTTTGACTTAGCGCCGACTTGTTTTGAGGCCTATTGATGTATGCACTTGTTTGATCCAGTATAATAATTTTATGTATTGTTTTGACCTCACACTCCGAGATTTGACTAGCAGCAGAGATGAACTCAATGTGGCATCAAGTAACGTAAGCGAAGGTAGGAGTTTGTTGCTCCAAGTCTTGCATTCAGATTTCCACGTCTGAGCCTGTCCCAGTCTACAGGACTGCCAGCGTTTGGCTCCACAGGCTTTCTCTGGAACTTTTCATGTTCTTTTATTCTTCTCTTGGTTTTGAGCTCCTTTGTTCTGTGAAGCCCTTAAATTTTTACATGTTGTCTCTAGATTGAACCTTTATCTCTTACAGTCATGAAAAAGACCATCTAATAGATGTAAGATGCAAAGTAACCAACCCCATTGTGGAGCAAAGGGGTGATGCTGCCTACAAGGGAGTTCGTGAGACATTTGTTATGTAGCAGTCCTAAGCAAGAATATCCTTGTGTTATATGATGACATTTCTGGAGTCCTTCAGGCCTACACCTGTGCTAACTGCAGGGTTGTGCTTTCCTACCTGCTTTAAAGGAAAACTCTTCTATCTACACACAGATCACTTGTGTATATCTATTAGGCTCTAACTTGGTGATGTTCTTGTCTGTGATGCTGTGATAATTAGTGATGCCATAAATACAGGAAGTTTACCCTCAGAGGTTCTGCTGCCTTTGATTTCTACTTTCTCTGGTGTCACTTCCTGAGTGCCAGTCTGTAATAGTCTCACATGTTGAAGGCTGTCAATAAAACTGACTTTGCAGCATACTGATGTTTGCCAGGACTGTCATTAACCCGTAATGATACAGTTTGCAGGCTATTTGCCATTTCTTGTGTAACTTCTTATTCCCGCTTAAACAATTCTAGCTTCATATGTTGGAGCTTTCTGCATGTCACCATAAGCATCTTGCACAATCTAAACAGAGAAGAGGCATCACAGATTTAAGTATTACCTGTGAATGTATTTGAAACTGGGCTGGTTTGGATTCCCCAATGCCTTGATTTAGATGACCATTGAATATCCTATCAGTCTGTCAAGTCTCAAGTGTTGTATGTTTTTTTGCCTAATGGGTATCATTCTCCTGGTTTCAAAGTGATCCTTTTCTTTCCTAAACAGAGCCATCACACTGGAGAATCAGCTGGTGATCCTTGCAACATCAGTGTCTGATGCAGGAGGCTACTATGTCCAGGCGGTCAATGAAAAGAATGGAGAGAACAAGACAAGTCCCTTTATTCATCTCAGCATAGCAAGTGAGTATCCAAAATGTGGATAATATGCTGTCATACTGAGGCTGCAGACAAAAGCCTGCCCTAGTAAAAAGAGCCTTGCTAACAAAGGATTGGGTCTTTACAGAAGGTCAACATTCTCTGCTTGGTTTGGAGTACATTGAACTCCTTGTGCAGTAAGAGGGACCTTAGAGAGTACATGCCCTCAACAAATCACTCTCGGAGCCTCTTGTCTAATGGTTTATTTTGTGTGAGGCAGGTACATGATGATATCCCTCGCTGTTTGTTGTGAAATTGTGATCATCATTTCTTTTCAATGCAGGGGTTTATAATGTATTGTTTTCCATTGCGCGTAAGTAAACAAGTCACTCTTCTGAGTGCAAATTTATTTATGAGTCAATTCCCAGTCTATGGCATTGTTTTTACCTGGAGTTATCACAGAGGCCCAGGGAACATGCATCTCATCGTTACTACTTATTATTTTACATTGTGCAAATTGTATTAACACCTCCCATTACAGAGCTACTCTACGAGTAGATTTTATAGCAAAGAGGAGGGGGAGGCAGCAGAGCAATGGGGTTGCGAGATGACTGCCCATTAAATAAACTAAGGTGCATGTTCAGTCAAAATACACGTGTCTAAACTCTTGTAAAACATTTAGTAAATGTGTTTGTAGGGAAAATTCATATTCCAAACATGTAGAATGGCTTCGCTCCTTTTCTGAGGGCATTAGGTCATGGTGTTTTTAATGTAGCAGTGAGACAGGGAATATGGTAATCTGTTGTGTGAATGAGTCTGTGTTTGATTGTAGAAACAAGGAAGAAATGGCTGGATGAATTGTTGACACTGGCAGCTTTACTGACAGGCTGCTCTTACGGTTTGGGCTTCTAAAAGATCATAGAATGATCATAGAATCATAGAATAGTTAGGGTTGGAAACGACCTTAAGATCATCAAGTTCCAACCCCCCTGCCATGGGCAGGGACACCTCACACTAAACCATATCACCCAAGGCCTCATCCAATCTGGCCTTGAAGACTACCAGGGATGGAGCATTCACAACCTCCCTGGGCAACCCATTCCAGTGCCTCACCACTCTCACAGTAAAGAATTTCCTCCTTGTATCCAATCTAAACTTCCTCTGTTTAAGTTTTAACCCATTACCCCTTGTCCTGTCACTACAGTCGGGTTGGAAGAGACCCTAAGCCTCATCTAGTTCCAGCCCCCCTGGGTTGCACAGGTAGGGATACCTTCCACTAGACCAGGTTGCTCCAAGCCCTGTTTTCTAAGCAGGGTACCTGGCATATTGCTTTTGGAAATATGATTATGTTTGTAGAAGTTCAGCAAAAACATTATGTCCCTGTGAAACATTTAATTTCAATGCAAATATGATTTTCCTGCTAAAATTCCTAATCCGTTTTCAAGGAATGCTGTTCTTAAGCACTGGAAACCCTGTTAGTGGGATCAGGGTCACAGAAGCTGCATGGCTAAAACAGCCAGCAGAAGAGACAAACCTGTGTCTTCTTCCAGATATGTTTATAAGCTAAATGAACTTCTTGGGGGGTTTATGTGTATCTTTCTGAAGTGGAAATAATATTCCAAACCCACTTGTGAACTCTGGCTGTACTGTGGCATCTAGATTGTGAACATTATTATTTCTGACAGTATAAATAGGTTTAACACTTTAGTAATTTCATTTTTAAAGCAAATTCATATTGTTTGTATTGTGACCAATAATGTACTTACAACTTTAATTTTGTATCCTAATTAATGCTAGAAATAGTCTGTGACCATGCATGCATAACGAGTGCTATGCAAAGCAGAAGGTAATACGGGCATATGGAATAGAAAACACTTCAAAATGTGTACAGACTTGACAGCATGAATGCAAAGTCTCCCTGGAACATGAAAACCAGGAAAGATTAAATTGGTAAAGGAAGATGAAGAATGAAAGCCAAAAATGGATCTGCTTGTTGAAATGAATATTAGCCAATGAGGTTTTTGAATTGGTATCTTGATATCTTGGATAGAAAGGCACTGGCTGTAAGGTGTTACAGTGCCTGTAAAGAAAATGCTTAACATGGTGTAGTGTGAGGTGTCCCTGCCCATGGCAGGGGGGTTGGAGCTAGATGATCGTAAGGTTCTTTCCAACCCAAACCATTGTGTGATTCTGTGGTCAGTGTGATCCTCGATCTGAAGAAGAAACATATGTGAAACAGATCATTAAAGGTACATGCAAGAATGGATACCACTTCAAGTTGTCATTCATCAGGTGGTGAGAGTGATGGCACTTGTCATTTTCCATTAGGACATTATGAAACTTAAAACCAGTTTAATCAAAATCAAATAAACCCCAAGTAAAGTGGAATATCTAATTTCTGTGTAAGTGGATTATATATTAATTATTGAGTACAACCTTGCTACATGACTCAGCATGCGTATTGCCACTTTCAGCTGAGGGCAAAAGCAAAACCAAATCTCCCAGGGCAGTTGTCCACTGAGGGCAGTGTTAGATATGCACAGCTTGTTATTCCTTGAAGGATATCAGTGTCAGGCTTGCTCCAGCCTGTAGGAAAGGGTTTTCAGAAGGCTGTAATCTGTCCTGTTCTGGTCCGAAACACAGGGATGACCGAAAGAGAAAGGTATAGCCCTGAGCTAAGCAGAGGATGAATTATGGGGCCTTATATGGAATCATAGAATCAACTAGGTTGAAAAATATTGCAGATTAAAGTCAATGTTGAATTGTGACTGAAAGTAAATGGAGTTTGAGAGACACTTGGAAAAGACGCTAAACTGTCCTCCAATTAATGACTATATTTGATACATGTTGCATAAGATCTGAGGATGTTGAACATGTATCAGAAACAGTCTGAAAGCCCCAGTTGAAGTGAATTCTCTGGTAGAGCTCTGAGTAAAGGTAAAGACATTCTGTTTCTTGACAGCCTAACCCACAGTTCATTGAGTCCCAAGCAGCGTGAAGTCTTACATCCACCCGTGGCCCCCGATTACAAGCATAACATATGTAAGTCAGAAAACAGCTTCAAAAAGAAGCTTTCTTGCTTGTCTGTGTGGTTCTGCCGTGTTTGGGTTTGGTTTTCAATATGTTTGGAGGTTGGTCAGGCATTGAAAGTGAAGACATGAGAATGCCTGGGTTTCATGAGGGTTAACAGACCTTTAGGACATATTGGGCTTCTAAGATATATACCCAGTACACATTACTGGGATGATTCATTCCTTAAATGCACTTTACTCAGGAAGATGTATTAGCCAGTAGATATGGTCACTCTGTGGTAAGATCCAAATACTGATGAGTGTTTCTCCCCAGTAGCCGAGTCCCTGTCTTAGTTAAACATGGGTGTTCTCTGAGCCTGCCCTCTAAAACCATGTTTCTTAATGTGAAAGTCCAGGTCACAGCATGAGGTCCAGTCCAACCATGCTTGAAAACAGTGATCATGTCTTTCAAGCGGATGTGTTTCCACTGATTTCAAGAGGATTAGATCATCTCTGAGGTGACAGGCTCCGTGAAATGATGTCCAACAGACAGAATAATAGGAATAACGTCACGTCTGATATTAGTATGAGATGTCGTAGATTAGTCCTAAATTTAAAATGTCTTAAAATCATTTTAACTGTATGCTACACTAATGGAAAACTTGGCTTTCTTTTATTTAACCATATGTCCAAGCTTTCCTGTAAATAACACAAAATTCTGGCTAGGAAAATTGGGAAGTCTGAAAGTCAAGAATTTGGCAACAGAAGTAGTAACAAAACTCAACTTGCTCTTTGATGCCGATACATCACTCCCTGTTTAAAAGTCACTATTATTGTTTTGGAGGAGTTCAGTATTAACTCCATCACTGGAACTTGCTGATTTAACCAGAAAGGTGTGAGAACAGATCTCTCGCTGAGTTGTTACAAGCTTCATAGATGTGAATGCTGTTTTTCAATAAACAAGTGAGAACTCCTTAATGTTCTTCCCAATTTCTGTCTGGCCAACAATAGATTTGATGGCAATATCTTAAATGGATCCTTCATTCTTGAGACGTGTTCTTTTGTGCCCGTTCTCCTGCCATACACTGCAGCACAGATGGTCTGACCTCTTGCTAAAGACTCTGGCCTGTCAGGGAGATGAAGTGACATGCTCTTGATCTTACCAGTGTTGGCAGGACACGTAAAGATCAAGTGTTCATTAAATTAAGACCATTATAAACCCTTACTTCCTTTTTTTTAAAGGAAAAGGAGAGCAGGGGTGTTAAGAGGTTGGTACTGAAACCATAAGGATTTCTAGTCTATCAGTCAAGAGTTTAAGAAGTGGTTCCCTTTGCTTTTTATTACTACAAGGAGCTGGCTGAAGTATGTACCCCAATGAACTCAGCTTGTGTCCTTGTTACTTTATAACATGACATGGCAAGATTCCGGTGCCACTGTAGAAGTTTGAAAAGCCCTGCTGAGATTATTCTGTTATTAACTTCCATGCAACACCGTTGGCCCTGTGTTGGAAACTTTTCCCAGCATGTACTGATATTTCTGAGTTTAGTTGAAGTATTTTATGGAAAAAATTGGAAGTGTCCTCCAGTAAATGATTTAAATGGCAGGTTTGCCGAAGGTGGGTACACGTAAGCTGTTGTGACAGCTCGGATGCTCCTGCTTCAATTGGTTTTGCAGCGCTAATCAGCTGGAACAGCAATTCAGGGCCTTGCTGCTGGACCTTCTCGTTAAGCTGTGAAATATTGAGATGCATGTCACTTGAACGGATTTCTTAGTAAATTAGGCAGTCTCAAGATCTCCTCATAACACCAGTGGATACAGAGCGTTCTGCAGACTGACGTCTCTTTCTGATGCAGGCTTTGTGAAAACAGCAAGCAAGATTGATGAAAGTTTCCCAAACCTCGCCAGCCAGCGTTTTTGAGGAGTAAAAGATGATAAAGGCAATTATCATTTAACAAAGATAAATCTTCCCCTTGAGCATTGGCAATATTTAAGAAAAAGAAGTGAAAAAACAAGTTAGGGACTGAAAATTAAACT